CTCAAGTGAGTTGGAGGGCTCCCAAGCACTACCACATAAGCCACCAAGGCTCTAGTGTGCTCAGCACTACTAAGCTCTTAGTCAAAGGCCGACCAACACTTCTATTTACAGCCCCATGGGCTCAAATAGCCGTTACCCCTTCACTGGGCATTTTTCGGGATGACCGGACGCGCAGGTCAGGTGCACCGGACGCATCCGGTGTGGCGACCGGACGCGTCCGATCACTTCTTGACCACCACATGTCCCATTCAAATAAAATAGCCGTTGTCACCCAACTGTGATCGGACGCGTCCAGTGTGGCCGAACGGATGTAGGAGGGGCAGCGTCTAGTCGAGTCCAGAGAGCTCCTAGAGCTGCTCAACTGTGACCGGACGCGTCCGGTCACATCAGACTAGACACGGGAGACGCAGCGTCCGATCGAGTCTAGAGAGGTCCCAGAGCTGCTCTAGGCCGACCGAACGCGTCCGATCACACCGGACCGGACTCTCCCAGCGTCCGATCAATTATTGCGCTGAAAACCTGAGACTTGCTGGTTCACATCGGACGGCGAACGGACGCGTCCGGTCGCTCTCTGCAATCCTGTATCGGGCTATATCACTTTGACCTGACACTAAACAGTAACTCGTCAGCGTCTGATCACTCCACTGAGCCAGAGTTCGGTCACCTCGGCAACTCTGCCCGCGCTTGGCCAGAATACCGGACATGTCCGGTATAGATATCGGACGCGTCCGGTCACGTCAGAAGATACCGGACGCGTTCGGTCCTCATGTCGGACGCGTCCAGTCACCCCATGACCAGCGCATTCAACTCTTTTTCTTCACCAATTTCTTCTCCTTTGCAAATGTGCCAACACCACCAAGTGTACAACACCTTGTGCACATGTGTTAGCTTTTCACAAACATTTTCAAGGAGTTAACCACTCAACTTGCCGCGCCACTCGATCCTAGCAACGATGCAAAGTTAGATTACTCGAGTGGCACTAGATGACCGATATGCAAACAAGTTTGCCCCTCTTGATAGTACGGCCACCTATCCTAAATCCAGTCATCAACTTCTCTACACACCTATGACCGGTGAAATAAAATGCCCTAGGTTATACCTTTGCCTTGCGCATTCCATTCCATCTCCTCCAATGTCGATACAACACATGCACCAACACGATCAATAATGATATGATCCACTTCATATCATCATGTGATCATATTAGTTCATTGATCTTGAGTTCACTTGCTTTTCACTGTTGCCTTCGTCCATCGGTGCCAAGTCTTGCTCAAGCTTCACCGCCATGCGGTCCATCGCTCCAAAGCCTCCGACTTGCCCTTCACGCTTGCAACCAGTCCATCAAGCCAAGTCATGTCTTGATCTTCTCCACCTTGATCATATGACTCAATGTCATGTCTCATATGCAATAAGCTCCTTCATCATCACATGTGTGAACTTTGCAACATCTCCGAGCCATTTTCACCTTCATGGCATATGTTGCTCACACGCATGTACCTGTGGACTAATCACCTGTGTATCTCACATAAACACAATTAGTCCACCTAGGTTGTCACTCAATTACCAAAACCACACAAGGACCTTTCACAAGGTCTCGAAATCAATAAGATATTATGTCGCTATTTCTGTCAGGAGCTACATCATCATCATGGGCTTGTAATTCATCCTTGGGACCCTGGCCCAAATGGGAGCACGCTCCAAGGAGATGGAGAACTCACAAAGGAAGCCCTTTGACGTCCTCCTCAGCCGCCGCCTTAGGAGGCCAGCAAGGACGTCCAAGCCAAGCTGAAGGCCCAGTGCAACTCGAGTTCGAGTCTGCCTTGGCCTTTAGGACCAGTCTGCAATAAAATGGACGCCCAAGATGTATCCGAACTCCATTTTTGATGATCCACATATGGATGGAAAGATAATTTCATAAACTAACCAATGGCTTTGGTTTTAAGTCCAAATTCCACCGGAGTTAACAGGGATCGTCGAAATAAGTTAGCATCTAGAATCTATCAGGTGCTGCTCCACCGCTTTTGGTCCATTGGGCCGTGTATCATCTTTGAGCCTGTTAGGGGGGTGCATCTAGGGGGAGTGATGACCCTTAGACCTTATATTCAGCCGCTTTTGCCATCATGAGGGTTTAGGTTTTGCTTTAAATCGATCTGTCTTTGAACAGTCGCCGTTATCAGTTTGTGAAACCGCACATTCGAGTGCTTAATCATATATCCGCAATTGTCACTTTACATGAGTTGCATTTTATCTTGTTCTTACTTGTGTTCTTCGATTCATAGCAGGGATTAGACTTCTTGGCGAGGTCAACCGGTTTGTAACACGGTTGATAACCAGAGGAGATGTGTTGCTAATGTTGCAGGGTTCAGGTCTTTGTGATCTGAAGCCGAATCGGTGTGTCACTTTCCGCCCAAATTGATAGTTATCTCAACCTGACAGAAGATCGAGAACCTCATTGTAACACCCCTAGTATTATGAGCTTGCTTAGCACCGAGATTTAGGTCCAAGAGGAATTAGCCAAACAAGTTTTTAGGTTTTTAAAATTTATAATGCACGCAAAATGATAAGCGAATCCTATGTGACTCACTTTTGTGGACTCAAATAAATATCCAAGTTAACTTACTTGGTGCGTAAAAAGTGCTAATGAAAATCCTAACAAGAAACATGGGATAAGTCATTTTAATTGTTTGGCACGAGAAACAATTTATATAAATAAAAATAAAATATAACTTGTGTGTAATACTTAAGTAAAGATAACGAGCAAGTGGTGTAGTTGAAGATGCAACTTTAATTTATGAAAATAAATAGTGTTAACTAGTGCTCTTGGGAGCTCAAAAATCAAATTTGACGTTAAGATAAGCTCTTTTCGTTAAGTCGGCAAACACTTGAACTATTGTTAAAATACTATTTTTGACGAATTATATTGAGCAAAATAGTTAAATGGTGCTTAAATATTTTGCTCCTATGGGTTAGTATAAGGTATGGACCATTGCATGAAGTATTTGTTGGTTGAAGTTAATAAGGTTTAGACCTTTTAAAAATTATAACAAAAGAGTTAGTGGCTACTTAGTCCCAACTAAAAACCCTTAACATTTCTAAGAAATGTTTACAAGTCGTCCGATTAATCGCGAGTCTGGTCGGTACCATGACCTCGATTAGAGACTTTGACTCGATTAGCTCGACTAGAAACCTGGTCGTCCGACTAGGGGGCTGCACGACCAGGCTGGGCACTGCCTTCTTTGGGCTTGCCTGACTGGGCTTCCAGGTGAGTAGTTGGGCTGACAATTTGGCCCACTAGGGTCTGTAATATATATACAAGAGGCTGCTGCTCTGCTCTTTCTCTCTTCTCCTCTCCTGTGCACGACGGCTGCTGCTGCTCTGCTCTTTCTCTCTTCTCCTCTCTTGTGCATGACGGCTGCTGCTCCACACACCTCTAGTCTTCCCCGTGAGCCTCCAGTCACCGTTCTTCGTGATGAGCTGCTCCTACGACGGTATGTGCCTTTCCCCTCTCCATCTTCTTCCCTCCTCCCCCAAACCTCACTCTGCAGCCTCTCTGTCTCTCTGCTAAACTGCTAGGTTGCTTGCTGTGATGTACTGTTGTCCCTCTGCTATTCTTTGGTTCTCCATCGTCTATCCTAAGAAGTTGTTCTTCTGCAGATGTGGACAGACGATGTGCAAATGTGGAAGTGTACATGCCTCCGCCTGACCTTGAAGGAGGTGTTCCAGATTCATCAGTTGGGTCAGATCCTGCTGCCACAGCTTCCTCATCTACTCTGGAAGATATTCCTTCCCTAATTGAGAGGGCTATAGCAAAACTACCTCTAGATCTTGCTGCCCAAGCTGTTGACAAAAAGAGAAAGGCAAGATCTCAAGACCCAGGATGGAAGTATGGGTGGTGGCCAGATCCTTCCAAGAAGGACTTTGTGCAGTGCATATTTTGCAGGAAGGTAGTCCCAGCCGAAATATGCAGATTTAAGCTGCACCTTGCTTGGGGGTATGTAGATGCAATAAAATGTCCTAATACTCCAGCAATAGTTAGGAAGGAGATAGCTGTTTACCTGAAAAAGAGTTCAAGGACTGTTCTTGTAAAGGTACCTGCAGAAGATGAAGATGAACAAGATGCTGCTAGTGCAGAAGAACCTGCAGCTGTACCAGTACCAAGTTCTGGAACAAAAGTTAAGCAAGCCAAGAAGAAGATTGCTCAGGCTGCCATCACTTCTTTCACTATATCTACTGCAGCAAAACCAGCAACTCAAAAACAGTCCAGGTCAGTAAGTTCCATGCTTTGCAAGTCACCAGAAGAAGTAGTTGCAGAGAGGCACAAATCCAAGCAAAGTCAACCTACACTTGAGCAATGCACAAAGAAAAATAAGGAGGCCAAAGTAATTGTTGATGATCAAGTTGCCGATTTCTTTTATGAGAATCGTATTCCATTGAACATCATTAATTCAAGAAGCTGGGAAGTTTTGCTTGAGTCAATTAGACAATATGGTCCTGGGTACCACTCACCATCATATCATGATGTTAGGACTCCACTGCTTGAAAGAGCTGTGAACAGAATAGCGGAGTTGAGGAAGAAGCATGAGGAGGCTTGGAAGGAATATGGTTGCACCATAATGTCCGATGGGTGGACTGACACAAGCCACCACCATCTCATCAATTTCCTTGCTAACAGTCCAGCAGGGACTTTCTTTCTAGGGTCTGTTGATGCTTCAAGTGAGATAGCAAATAAGAATATGTTGGCTGACTTGTTGGAGAAGCAAATTGATAAGGTTGGGAAGGAACACGTGGTGCAGATTGTCACTGACAATGGAGCCAACTTCAAGGCAGTAGGGAGGCTTTTAATGGAGAGGATCCCACATCTATTTTGGACACCATGTGTTGCCTATTGCTTGGATTTGTTGTTGGAGGATATTGGGAAGATCAAGGAATTCCACACTTGCATCAACATGGCATAGAAGGTGACCAGATTCATGTACAAGCATGGGAGGGTTCTAGATCTAATGCGAAATAAGATTGGAGGAGATTTTGTGAGGCCAGCTGTAACTCGCTTTGCCACTTCATTTCTCACATTGGCAAGCCTGCATAAGAACAGGAGTGGATTGAGGAATTTAGTTGTTAGTGATGAATGGCATGCTACCAGTTTCTCTACCACTCTTGAAGGCCGGCGAGTTGAGAACATTATCCTTTCAATGCCATTTTGGAATAAAGTGGAATTATGCCTAAGAGCTTCACAACCACTTCTTGTAGCTCTAAGGATAGCAGATGGAGATGAGACACCAGCAGCTCCTGAGATTATGGCAGCCATGGATGTTGCAAAGGCTGCAATTAAGGATTCTTTGCAACGCAAACTAGATTTACTCAAAGAGGTACTAAAATACTATGACAACAGATGGGAAAACCAAATGGAGCAGCAGCTGTATGGAGCAGCCCTATACTTGAATCCAAGCAAGTTCTTTTGCCCTAAAGGAAAAGGATAGGAGACAAGCAGGAAGGCTGAGAATCATGTTTAATCAAGTTATGTGGAAGATGGTGACTGATGATGAGGAGAAGAACAAGATAAGCAAGCAGGCAGAAGACTATGTAAGGGCTGAAGGTGAATCCTTCTCACAGCCAGGAGCAATAAGAGACAGAGATAGAAAAAATCCTAGTAAGTTCTCTGATAACTATTTCCTTCCCTTTTTCTAAAAGCAATCAGCAATGAACTAATAATGGAATTCTATGTTTGAAATGGAATTATGGAAATTACAGTGCTTTGGTGGGGTGCATATGGTGGCCTCACATATGAGCTCTAATGTTTAGCAAAAAGGATTGTTAGCCTTTGTTGCGCTGTATCTGGATGCGAGCGTAGTTGGAGTGAATTTTCTGCTGTAAGTGCTAGTGTACTGCTGCTGAGTAATTAAGTATGGTAGTAAACTAGTAATATTGATATGTGATTCTGCATTATATTTTGTGTAGGTCCATATAAAAAAGAGAAATCGATTAGAGCACCAAATGTTAAATAAGTTGGTATATGTCAGTTACAACCGCAAGATGGAAAATAGATTTAAAAAAAATAGAGAGCTGGGTTCCAAAGGAAAGATATGCAATCCACTCTTGCTTGATGAATTTCATTGGGAAAATGAATGGGTCAATGAAAATTGTGAACCAGAACCAGTTCAGGAAGGTGGTGGCGATGCTATGACTTGGGCTATTGTGGATGAGGCTATTGGTGCAACTCAGGGTCTAGAGGGACGTAACTTGCCTAGGGCTGCTGCTACTCGTGCTGCTGTTGCTGCCCTTGTGAGGCATACTTATGCTAGGAACAGGAAGCGTCCAAGGAACACAGTGACTCTGACTCAAGATATTGATGAAGTTGATGATGAAGACCAAGATCAGCATGTAGATTCAGCAATAGCAATGGAGGAGGATGAAGAATCTGCACCAACTAAAACTAGAGATGGACCAACTGGAGATGGAGATGGAGGCTTCACTTTTAATGTTGATTTGCTTAATTAGATGGCTAATTGCCTACTTTTGTTGGACTGTTAAATTAGATATCAATGTTTGTGACTGTGTTGAACACTTTAGCAGTTTAGCTTATGTGTACTGAACTTGAACAATTTAGCTTATGTGTACTGAACTTGTTTGCTAAATGCTAGTTATTTGTTACTGCAGCAGTGCTTGCTAATGCAGTAGTGCTGTTGTTGAGCTGTGTCAAGATCAAGACTACATTAGTGTTGCTAATTATGGTCTTCTTTGGTATTTTAGGCTTCCAGCAACAAGTCAACAAAGAAATGGAGTTTGGGACAGGAATATGGACCTCTGGACATGGCAGAAAAGAGAAGAAAACAACTCCCACAAGTAAGTCACCACCTAAACTCAGTAGGAGACAGAGATGCTCTTGATGCTTGCTTTATTGTGTATACTATATAGTATATATAGGTATATATATAGTAGGTATATATATCCTGATATATAGGACGACCAGGGGTCAACTAGGTTCGACTAATCGTCCTGGTCGATGACTAATCACGATTAGTCTTCTGGTCGGTCCCATGGCGACTAGGTTCGACTGGACGACTTGAAAACATTGTTTCTAAGTATGGAACGGTGGTAGACAATGCTATTTTGACATTTAAGTTCTAACTAAAATACTTGAACACTAGTTTCATGTTTTGGTATTGTTGTTTGCTTCTAAGTGAGTACTTGGGTATGGTATGGATCGTGGGTGTGTTGTACATCGCGTTGCCCTCTTTAAAATTGCTTAAACGTCGTTAAAACGTGTGAAATCATGTTGTGGGTGCTCTGTTCGTGAACTGGCATTCAACACGATGAGCTCATATTGGCCTCCATCTATCTCCTTCCCTGGTTGCTCTCCGGTCATGGCCATGGCGTTGCTAGGATGTCGGCAATGTGGACTTTCCGATAGGAGAGTTAGTTGAACCTCAACTGTGATCGTTAGTAACTTTTGCTACGCTTTAAAACGCGCGCACGCCACCTAGGGCAGCCATTCGGATGGTGTTCACGGTCACCACAGGCACAATGCGATTGACGTTGGGGTCACGTTGCAACCAAGCCGCGGCCGTCGGCCCGCACGTGCGCTAGGCCAATGCCGCGTTGCGCCCAGGCCTTGCATGGCCCGACCCGGCTGGCGGTGGTATGGTCCCCCTACCATGGTCTACGTACGCCAACGTTCAGCCACAGAGCCATGCGTGGGGGTGTGGCGAAGCTGTGGTGGTCACCACCTTGACGACATGGCGCTCGCCCCACCCTCGTCCTACCTACCCTGTCGAGCCTCTGGGCATGTGGGGCTACCGCCGTGTCTAGGTCGACGACCCCGGTCACCGTGGTGATGAGATGTTTCCCTGTCCTTCCTCGCTAGCTGACGCTGGTACGACCTGCTCGGGTCCGGCCGCTCCAATTCAAGCACATCATGCCAAGCCCTTCTTTGTCCCGTCACCTGTGCGCACGTGCTCTTACTACAACTATCGGTCGAAGCCACCGTCTTAATCCACTCGAGCTCACTCATGTGCCTCTCCACGACATGACCACGGTGGGAGCACCGTGCGCTCCGCCTCTCGATTCGCTTAGCTCAGAGCATTGTAGTTCAATTCCTTGCACCAGCAAGTGGCCTAGGGAGTCGACTAGCCAGGTGACCCCTATATAGGCTTTGTCGCGCCTCGGTGTGGATGAATTTAGTGTTTCCATGGTCGCTGGTCATCACGCCTCCGAAATAGAGCATGACTTGGGGTAAGGCCCTATCCCTTGGTAGGGGTTCAACTAGTTGTTCCTATAAACTCACCTTGGTCCCCTCGTGTTGTTGCTCATCTTCGTTTGACTAGGAACAACGCGAGTGAGGACCTGACGCATCGGTGTCAACCTTGGAGCACTACCGGTATCACTGCGCACACGTGGCCAGGCCACCTCGGCACTCCTCTGCCTCAACCGCCATCGTAGTGTGAATTACGGTGAGCTACTGATGCTTACCCGCTATCTCCACCACCCAGATAGTGCCTAGGGCCACCGGAACAGTCATGCCGTAGCTCGGTTCTACCGTTGTCAAGGCTAGGCTTCGGTAGTGCACCGTTAAGCTCCCAACCGCCACCCAGTGTAGCCGGTTAGGTCAGGGATTGCGATCGACCCTCTAGGTAAGTCCGCACGAATCCTAGATGGCTGGTGTGACCACTCGGTGCCCGTGTTCATCGCGCTGCCGCACGTCCTGCTTCGAGGACGTGTGTGGGGAAATTAGGAAGAAACCAGGGGGGTGAAATGAATTAGTCTAAGAGAGAGGGAAATAGTAAACAAACGACGACGTAGTTTCAGACAAGATCAAGGTCTCTTTTGCAAAAGAGCCGCACGCACGTGGACTCCCCGCTTTGGGCCATTGCTGGGCTGGCTTGCTGCACGCACCCGCATCCCGCGTTGGGCCATGCCGGGCTGCTAGGCCGAATTAGTTGCCATCAGCCCTTTTCTTTTTCTAAAGCATTTCCTAATTTAGTTTCTGAGCAAACTTGTAAATTCAATATAAATTTGTGTAGTTGGCCAAAAATTATGAAATTAATTTTGTTAGGTTTCTAAAATCATGATCTATCTACCAGTATATCTTGTTCACATAGTTTCATAGTATTTTCAAGAGTTATCTAATTAAATTGAGATGTTTAATATTGTTAAGGTATAAATTGTAGAATTTTTTATGATTAATCAGTGCTAGTGTTAATTCTAGAAATTTCACAGTAGCTTCCTAATATTATGAGGTGCTCACTGTAATTTTTGTAAATCCATAATAATTAATTTGCTAAGGTAACAAAATGAGCCCTAGTTTGAATATATAAATTTAATCAATAAGAAGCCAAAACACCTTGGGATTTTTTAAACTAGAACATTTTCTAGAGACGAAGCCTTGCTCGACAACGTGGTACGTAGCCTAGTACGTTAGTCATTAGAGCTAGCTCGTTAGCTTGAGAGGCATAATCGTATTTCTAAGAGTTTCGGTTACCGTTGATTATTTACGCCTCTGTGTTGCATCCACGTATATCATAGTAGGAACAATAATGGATCGTGGAGATGATCAGAGTAGCGAAAAGGATGGTGCCTTGATGATCGTGTCACCATGATGGAATGCTAACTTTTGGTTATATCTTACTCAGACAAACCCCGGTGCACAACCTCTATTATTCTACACTTTATTTTATGCTTGTGCATTAAGTTTTGAGGAGTTGAATGAAACCCACTTGCATATATATATTCTTATCCTATGAGTCCTACTAGTATGCCAGGATCGTGTAGATTGCTATGCTATAGGATTCGGTAGAAGTCGAGTGATTACCTGTCACTCGCGAGAGATAGGAAAGATATTATTGTTGTTATTATATTACTATCACATGGAATATATATGAATGATAATTGAACACCGGGCGGAATGGTACTTTAGATCTGGACTTGGTTAGGCATTCGAGCGAGGCTCGGCTTGCACGTGTTCCGCCTGTGTTGATTGAGGACCGTTCGTTGTTGTGGATGGTAGTGAGGTCACAGACTTAATATCCTAAGCACATACTGGCATATGGGAGTGGGAAGGCTCGTTATGCTCTTGTCGTGGGTTCTGGCTCTTTCTGGACTGACTGATTGGAGGTGGGGAATGGTGGAGGTCTAAGCACCATATTGAGACTGGGTCTTAAGTGTGGAGGCTTGGAGTCCAAGTTTGGACAGGGACCTGCACCCCCTGACAGGAGTGGAATGGGTTGGTCTTGTTTGTGCCTAGAGTACAAATGGGGCGTGTGTTTTGGGGTACCCAGCTAGGATACATTGATTCACGAATCGCCGTTTCTGTGAGACGGTACCGACTTGGCTATGGTCTAACATCGTAGTAAGATCTGTAATATAAAAGATGGTAAAATGGTTTTGATTGCTCACCACCTGCTTGAAAGTAGCATAGGAGCTTACATAGAATGGATAGTTAATGAACTAATGACGACTGCTAATAAAATTTAATATAAGGACGTGCTTCCATAGATGCAATAACCCACAAGCCAAATAAACCTTGCATATCCTTGGAGTCTTTTAATTTCCTCCTGTCGGGTAAGTCTCGCTGAGTACAATCGAGTACGTAGGGTTTTATTCCCCTGTTGCAGGTGATCGGAGGATACGTAGAGCTGACTCTTGTGTATGGAAACCTCCTGGTGGGCTCAGAGAGGATTCCTTTCACGCTACGACCATAGTGTTTATTTAAAACCCTCACTAAAGGTTTTTATAAGAAAAGATGTAAAATCTGCTAGCATCTCTCGTATATAAATGTCTACTATGTTAATACTCCACCATGTCGTTAAATTAATCTTTGCTTCTTTTGTAACTCTAATAACATTGTTATATTCCGCTGTTATAATCAATTGAGGTAATATTCTACTACTATAATAAAGTGATGTAAGAAATGACTTAAGAATGTTGCAAGCTTTATTCTCTCATTTATGATCCTGATGGAAAAATGTGGATTTTTGAGTTCTTCCTTGGGGTGTGCTCGATGGAACTGCGTAGTTTAGTGTCCTCTCTTGATTACTTAGTGTCTAATGAAAGACACGTACACCTGGGAGGCATTAGATTAGGTGGTTCTGCCACACTCGTTCCCATCAAGTGGTAATCAGAGCTTTAGGTATACCGTCAGTTTCACATCTATCCTTTATATCGAGTCTTTTTGCCTTCGTCCCATAGTCCACCGTCATATTTGTTTCCTTTCCTAGAACCATCCGCGCCATAGCCTTTGCATAATTCAGCTTCAGAGTCCACCATGTTGAGTTTGTGTCCTAGGTCAAGGTCTTGTTGTTGGTTTAGATTGTGTTCTCTAGTTTGTGTTGATCCCTCTAATCGTCATCATCTCGTATCACCATCGGTTTGCATCTTGTGTCCACCAAAACCCTGATTCGAGCAGCTTCCTTAAAACTGTCATAACTTTTGCATTCGAACTTGAAACGGGGTGAATTTTATATCTACGGAAAACACCAGAAATTTTAGATCCGTTTCATCCC